AGTTAAGTCATAAGCGAATGATGTTTATCCATGGTATAGTGAATTTGAAGTGCCGTATTTCACACTGACAACTTGATTTTTACTTTCTTCTTTGGCTCATTTCATACATGTGTGTATGTCGTTTTAACCGTTGTAATGAATCGATGGAAGTTTGAATGAGAAATGCAAACAAACATATGCAGCCTGTTTATATATCACACGAACATGCACACTCAAATTCGCACTCCACTCATCCTTATTAGCAATGCCGAATTTCACAGACCCACTAGCACACGCACTCTTAGACAAAGCTGTTGATGAATCCCATGACGCGATTTTGATCCAAAAGACATCAAATCGACAGAATCACACTTATTTTGGCCTGAATTGATTTGAATATTCTGTCTTGATCCTAGATTTCATGTTATTTGTTTGTGATCAGTTACACGTACACCCACCTCTAAAGAAAGAAATAATGCCAGTGTGATACAAACTCATATCGTCCAACTTTGCGCGAAGAGATTTAGACATTTCGTAACTCAAACCACAACTGAACGAATTGTAATTGTATTATTACATCTCTCACCATATCTGACCCATATTTATTGTGATCATGAATCTTAAATTCCAATTAACATGTATGTGAATTCAAGTTCATGTATTCATGTTTTTGTATTTTGTTTGGCAATCCCTAATTCACATGATATAAACGATGGACTTTGCCTTTATCCTGTCCATGTTTCGGAATATTAAGTTGGATATATGAATTGTAGAACCTGAAGAGGATTTATTGTGAAAAATACTCCTCGGTCATAAAATAGTCATTCAATATGATGTGGATCTTTAATCAATATAATAAGTGAAGTTAAATCAAACAAGCATGAAGGAATGTAAAATCATCTGAACAATGGTAAGTAAAAAATCACTCTCGTGTCGTTTCAGTGAATGGAGTATGATCAAGTGCCGATTGATTATTTCAGACCACATTGATATGCACATCATAAATCGGTTTGATATGCAAGCAATTTTATTCAGTCTAGTCAGTGAGTCTCACATCAAACAGCAAATTGTTTTAGTTGTGTAATGATACATAATGCAAACATTTTGAAGCAAATATCCTATTGATATGGTCATCCATCTAGCTATCAATCAGAAAGTTTTAATATGGCTTACATAATGTCCTGTGTGTCTAAAAACATCATGTTGCCTGACATCTTTATCTTTTTCAAGCAAACGCTCTTCCGAATGTACTGCAGATTTAGAATGCCTCATCTAACCTTACTGTCATGCAAATGTGATTCAATTGACAGAATCTTTTATAATCATAATAGGCGTAAACACAAAGAATACACCTATAGTTCTCTAGATGAATCTTTTAATAATGTTTTACACAATGAATCCCACAAATTTAATTTGCAATGAAAATTTCAATTATGAATGATTCACTTTGTGATATCGTGAAAGAACATCAGATAACCACTAACATTCTCATCACACTATATTACCCATGATTAAATGACAAACTGAATCGAATGTGATGCATTTCAAAGTATTAGGTGCTTGACACTTCACGCTCATATATCCATGTAATCGGTTTTCTATTTGTTCTGTATAATACACAAAATATTCCACTTATTAACAATAAGACATACAAATTTATACCCTGTTTAAACATATATCATTACGTAACCTAAACAATCAGTGATAATTATATTTAGAGTCGTTCTGTAAACTGTAATTACTAATGGCGAATGAGTAAAATTATCTCAGTAAGGAAATTTGTTACTGTTTGGAGTAGAAACTACATAGAGTACTATTCATCATCTGCATAATAGTGAGTTACTTTAAGAGGCAGTAAATCTCAGAGTTCTAAGGAAGCGCAGTTACCGAAAAAACAATCCAGCATTATTCGATGTAAGGCTAATATCAACAATAGCAATAGGTGATATCTGAGATTTACGAATCTAAGCTATTTGATTCATGCTCCGTGGACTGCATGTTCATTCCTCGAATTTTATGTTGACTTTTTCACGTGTCATTCATAGTTGGCATGTAGAAACGCGTTGCTTAGCAACCTTTCCTTAGAGCAAATTAGCTGTTCAACAGACCCATTCAACTCTAGTGCTCATTGAATCTCACTTGAACTCCAAGAAATACCACTTGAAGCCAGTCACTAGTGAGCATATGTTCATTGATATTAGAAGGGCTTTTGTGAATATTTTAGTAATTTCAAAGTTTCGGCTGTTTGATGCGCGCTGTTGGAATGTTCCAAATTTTTACGAAATGGCCATTCAGTGCACACAGGTCTTCCATGGTGGTCTAGCCTCGAATGAAACATGATCTCAGTCATTGGAATTGCAAAGCGAGTCGCTTATAAATATTATATTTAATATACAATGTTCATGAAAATAGGGTGTGGCAATGGATAGATTATATGTAGCACGATAAGTCAGCGTTACTTTGCTGATAGTATCAAAATAAATTCACCGCTCTATTTTCCTTCCGAAATGTCGGATATTATTATTGAATATCCATAAAAGTTTGTTGTAAACAATAAATCAAGACATTGTTCTCTCACAGTCTGGGACTCTTCGGAAACACAAGCAAACGAGAAGAACGTCTATTAGGTTGAGATTGATCAATAGTTAATCTTTTCACATGGTGATGCCACCTTCGTCGTACATTTCTGATAAAATTCCAAAACACGATTTTCAATATTAATGTTTGTCATTTGGTATTAAACGAGAGTACATATGGCTTATTCTTCATGAATTCGTTTATAGTATAATTTCTGAGGTTACTTTGATATTCTATGATATGAACATATTTTGACTGTGCTTGTACGAAGTTGTTAGATGAACTAGAGTTGAACTCTGAGTGTAGGTTTGTTCAATAGTTCCCAACAAATAAATATTAATTGATATCTGAGTAGTTAGTGATGTCATATATGTCAAATCCTTCTCGGTACTGATAGAATTCTATCAGTCACCTACAAGTCTAAGTGAATAAATAACGAGTGCACTATGACAAGACGCGGATAGAACAAAGCAGATCACAGACGAGGAAGAAATCGGGAAAAAGCATTGGATGTGGATAGGACATACACTGACGAAAGCACTCAACTGCGCCACAAGACAAGCTTTCACTTGAAATCCTCAAGGCCAAAATAGGACAGGAAGACCAAAGAACACATTACGCTGAGAAATCGAGATAGACATGAGAAGAATGAACATTAGTTGGATAGAACTACAGGGGAAGATCCAGGACAGAGTGTGTTGGATATTTCTGGTCGGTGGCTTCTGCTCCATCATGAGTAACAGGCTTAAGTAAGTAAGTAAATAATGACAAGATGCAAAGTGATTGTCAGAGGTCATCAATAAGAACCTCTGTATCCTGAACTTGTTGTTTTTATAATAATGGTCAATGCGGTCAAAACCTAATTTCGTATTCTCATTTTCACCTATTATAGAATCAAAATAAAGCGAAAAAGTTTTGATTTGCAGAGATTTATATGATGCAAATCATGAAGTAGGAAACTGAATACTCAGTTTTAAGCCATACATAATACTTGAGAGTTGACGACTGTATTCAACTGGATTCCATATTATATTATGATACTTGAAATTCAAAACCGTTAATCACTAATTTACCTCTTCAGTGATTTGTTTAAACAGTTAATAACTATAGAATTGTACAGTAGAACTGATCAATAACAATTATGCACATCACAAGATTTGTAAAGACAAAACTTAAAAGAAAACCTCATATTTTTTGAAGGATAATCATTTACTTCAGTGTAGACAAATAAGTTTCGACGGTAAACCAATCACTTAAAGGATTACAGGTCTTGGATTTTAGCACGAAATTCACCTATCCATTCAGATAAATTTTTGACGTTGTGGCTGATGTCAGTTTGTGATGAAAACTCTGAATATAATTCCTAAACCATAATCGTCAACCGTAAATCACAACCCGAATTGCTGACACTGGTTTATAACGCCTATTTAGTCCTAGTTATTAGGTGGACACTCTCAAGGTCGATCTGGCACCACTCAAAGGCTATCCGTAAATTATATTCTCACCGGTTCAAATTCAAGTATAATATACATGTAGATATTTTAACGAAGAGGAATTCCAACTTTATCATGATTATCCCAATAACTCATAGGATACTCTGCTACATTAGATTCCATCTGACATATGTGCCTGAGTAAAACTACTTTAGTTAAATTACAAGACTTGAACACTGTCAATAATCATCAAATGTCAGTGAAATGGTTGATAGAAATGGATACATAATAGTCATTATATTTTTGAAAGATCAAAAACATTACTCATCTTTCAGTAGTTTGCCCTCAAATAACCTGTTGCGGTCGAAAGATAAGATAATGTGCTCTCAGTCTCGAAATAATCTCACACGGACATGTGCATACAACCACTGAGAGGGAAGTCCTATTCACAACCTTCGCGCGTCATTACTGTTCTTTAAGAAATTGGGAGAACAAGAAGCAAATGATTATGATTATAATGCGAATGAGGATCTGAAGAGATTGGAAAGATTCATTAGTTTATTTCATTAGTCGATTCAAGCTAGTCTATCAAGGTAAATCTGTAAACACTGAACGTCTGTTTCGTTCTAATATGGGACATCTGAGCAGTGCTCAAAAGGATTCCTTCGAGCAGCTCGTCTAGCCGTTCATATGCGCGTTCATACAGGTGAACGTCCTTATCCATGTACTTCTTGTGATAGGAGATTTAGTCAACCACATCATCTTGCTGCCCACCTTCGTGTTCATAGTGGTGATCGGCCATACTCTTGTCCAAAATGTGATGTCAGTTTTGCATGTGTTTCCAATCTGAGACGCCATCGAAAGCAAGTTCATCCAACGAGTGCTGTTCCAACTAATAATACAGACGGCAGTGATGTAAAGAGTGGAAATGAATAGAAAAAGCCATCACTTCAAATTATTACGTCTACTGTTTCAGATAACAATAATAATAGCTCTTCTTCCGTTATGACTATGGAAACACCATCTTATATTGCTTCGTCATCGAATTTAACTTCTGATGCTCCTGTTGCGATCGCTGCCACAATGTCAGGGACTGTGTTAACAGCAACTGGTGCTCTAGTTCCTGCTAATTTCTTGCTTGCGTCGTCAATACCTGGACTAATTCTTACATCAGCTGCTCCTGGCGCTTTAATAGCTGCGCCAGCTCATTTAACTGAGCCACATTCTCATCTTCATCCTACCATTATTGCTCATAATTCAGGTGAGGGAAATACATCTCTGCTAACAACATCTATTTCAAGTGGTCTTTGTTCCGTCACTCAACCTTCTGCATCTCTTGCAAATTCATCAACTGCTTTAAGTGTTCAATCAGAAGCACTTTTAAAAGCTGGTTCTTCTCCTACAATGTCTTTTATGTTTCCTACTGTTCTCTCTTCGACTCCTCATCATGGTGAAGCACTCAGACAAACTTCAGTTGCTTTTCTCACACCAACAGGTGAATTGGATCGATCATGTACTGCTACTTTAGCTACCGCTGGACCTGATGGTGGATTTATATTGAATTCTGTTGGTGGAGATACTGTCTATTTAGAACCGTTGGATCCTCGGCTCACTCTAGAACCCGGACAACAGTTTACTCTAACTTCTATTCCCACTTCTCATCCACAGGGAACAATTATTAATCCACATCATTCAGCAGCACATTTAGTGGATCATCAGGTTCATTTACAGTCGGGACAGGCAACACATATTGCTTTTGCAACTAATATACCAACTCATGGCCATCAGGCTTCACAACTGTTAACTTCTGGTTCAACTATATTTCCTAATACAGCACCCAATCAGGCAGCAATTCATAGTGGTCATTCTTCTGCAACAGTTATTTTTCCTCCCCCACGAAACAGTGTTGGATACTCATGTGTCCAAGTTACAATTAATTTGAATTTATTTAGGACATAATTTTCGCATTGAGCAGAGAATCAGCTGAAAATGACTAAGTGGTGAGGGTGAACGACGCGTGACATGAGGTCATTGACTTTTGATTCTTCGGAAATATTATGATCAAATTTATTGAAAACATCAGTAGTAGATAGTGGATCGCTATGATAAACAGAGTCCATCAGAACTGAATCAAGTTCTTGATTATTATTTGATACATATGACCCATTTTCTGGCAAATCGAGGGAATCTCGATTAGATTCGTCAGGAACTTCTGTCGTAGAATGCCGGGCTTTATTTGGTGCAGCTGCTCTGTATGCCTGTTAAGTCCAGTACGTCAATCTCAGCTTATGCGATAATAATTCAGCTTTTCAAAAATACTGAGATTATATACGAACATAACAGACCACATTGCACCGTAAATTAGAACATAACCTCTGTACAAGATGAAGCCAAATGTGGTTGTAAATGTGTGAGACTGTAATGAATAGACTGGGGATAACTCAAGAATGGTGAATCGTATATTACATATACATATAACATATACATATAACATTTGTCTGGCTCAGTGATGTGTGCTACTGATGTCGAAAGATATAAGTAGTATGTATCATCAATTACAAGTGGAACGTCTGGCCACATATGGCTAAAAACATCGGAGAAAAGAGAACTGGAAAAGATAATGATTGGTGTGGAAACGAAGGAACAGTCAAGTCTGAGACAAGTGATTGACATTTTGAAAAGGAAGAATTTATTGTATGGTTTTCAGAAAACTACGAAAGCTATAATGCTGAAGGTACAAGTGTTCATTAACAGCTGCCTACGCAAAATACTTCCCATCTATTGAACAGACACAGCAGCCAGCAACAAACTTCTATGGAGGAGAACGAACCAAATTCCAGCGGGGGAAGAAATCAGGAAGAAGCGCTGCAAGTGGATTGGACATACATTGACGAAATTCGTCAAGAACTCACATGGAATCCTCATGATCAAATGAAGAGAGGATGAACAAAGAACACATTACTCAGAGAAATAAAGATAGACATAGCATGAATGAATAACAATTGGTTAGAAATAGAATGCAGCGCCCGGAACAGTGAGGGTTGGAGAATGCTATTCGGCGGCCTAGGCTCTATTGAGAGTGAAGTTAGTAAGTCTCAGATTTTAATGAGATGTTCTGTAGTTCTGTATTGAAACACATTTTATAGTTCCAGTTGCATCCTTGTTCACTTCAGTACGGTAATTTTCCTTTTAAACACAATTCGAACTATAAGAAAGAAAAAAAGAGAGAAAACGCACAATCATGGATAAATCAACTGATAGATAGATAGAGATGCAAAGGCCACCCATCGGCTTTTTCCATTCAACTCTGTTCTGCTCAATCATTTCCATTTTTAATCATCCTTTTCATGTCTGCTCCCAACTCGTGACGCAGTGTGTTTGCATTTTCGATGAGAGTTGTGCTAGTTCTCCACATTTCAGCTCCATAGATTAGGACTGTTATTGCTTTGCCAATCCTCGCCTTTAATTCTGTTCGTTACTTTGTCTTGATTTCATTAGAAATATTTTGTATTGTTACAACATTCACTGGTGAAATAGACCATGGAAATATTGAGGAAGTTTTATAAATTAGTAGGATTCTAATATTAAACTAACTTTCTCAATCTGCATAGTTGAATTACAATGATTTCACCGTCTATATTCACTTGAAGTGGATGTGGGTCTGTTAATTACTGATGAGACTTAAATGAGGTCGAGGAAACTGTTAAATGATTTAAGAGGAATATCTGGAAACATGTAAGGTCCTTATTAGTTCACATCAAAACTTATCGACCAAATTGCAATGAGGTTTATAGTTTACTGACTCGAAATTGCGTGCACTATGTGGAGATAGCGTCTTTGACTGTAAAGCTGAATGTCATGGGATGGAGTCGATCAGGGGGCATCAGTTCCCACATGATTAAAACTATACCTTGCAGAGGAGTGGCAAATAGCATGTAACTTGGGTCTGTAGTTTTCTGTTGACTACCTCAAACCGCCATTTTACATCTGAGATACATAATCAATATTAGAGAATGGATTGTCAGCGTAGCAAATGAATGACTCCCTGAATTGATTTCACTCGATGTGGTTCTCAACATGATCGTTTGACATATACACGGTACGGTGTTTTCTATTTAAGCAAACAAAAATCACGAATAACCACACTTAGTCGAATATAATTTATGATAATGGAAGGAAGCACTTGATTGATTTTATTTTGGTGCCTCTCATGTTGATTAGTTAGATAATAAATGATTCCATGTTATCAGTATAGGGGTTGTGGAGATTTTTAGGTATCTGATTGAGATCATGAACGGATTGATGTTAGACCATCATTGAAAACCTGGAAGCACGAAACAGCCGTTTCTTTCTATTGTGGCACTGTTTTGCAGTGCGCATCCATGGCCACGCTGCAGGATTCGAACTCAGAACCTTCATTCTCACACGTCGAATCTTAACCCCTGAGACGGTCGGCATGCAACGCTGTTAATGTCTTAACTCACTCAATCCACCAAGTTGCGCGACCACCTTCCACTCTACTGAGGTAGATGCCTATCTCTACCTGACACGGATAAGCCTCATTGATCACGGATTCTCATGTTATGTTATTCATATATTTCCTACACAACGACTGATGTTAACTTTGAGGCAGATTAACTAGCACCGATTCCTATATATTCTCCTATGAAAACCATAAAACTTGAGGGATCTGAATGTTATATTGTTATTCCATGATTTTATTCATAACCACCAAAGTCACTAGATTATTGGTTAAGGAATTATGAAATTTTCTTTCGTAAAGTTCGTTTTGTATTTGTAGGAAGTAGGTGATCACGTTGTTCATAATGATCATGAGACCATCACAAATAAACCATCCAACTCATACAAACATAATATCTATTGAAGTGGTGAAGAGATGTATGATTCTTTTACTTAATAGTTGATTTCATGAATCAACGATATCTAGATCAGCATGGAAATTTTGGAAGCATTGGGCAGACACATCGTCCTATTGCGGTACTCGTCAACATTGAGCATCCATGACGGCGTCCGTCGGGTTCGAACCTATGATCTTCGATCAGAGCTTAAACTCCAGATCTTTGAGTCATTTAGTGTTGAACAGTGTTTGTGTTTAACTTCAATGAAACTTTTGTTTGTTATCAATCAAATCTTCTTAAGTAATTTCTAAATTTACATTGTCAAAATAAACCAAATTTTGTTTCATCACGTTTTTTAATTTTTTTCGCGCGCAAATTAACTTTTGCATAAATTCTATTCATTATATAACTTTTATTCTAATAAAAAAAATAAAAAAATAAGGAGAAAATTAGAATAAAGAAAATAAGTGAAAAGAAAATTTTCTAATGAAATTATTGATTGTTTGAGTATCCATGACGGCGTATGTCGGGTTCGAACCTATGATCTTCGATCAGCGCTTAAACTCCAGATCTTTGAGTCATTTAGTATTCAACAGTGGTTGTGTTTAACTTCAATCAAACTTTTATTTGTTACAAATCAAATGTTCGTAAGCATTTTTTAATTTACATTGTCAAAACAAAAAACAAAATTTTGTTTCATCTCGTTTTTTATTTTTTTTCGCGCGCGAATCAACTTTTGCATAAATTCTATTCATTATATAACTTTTATTCTAATAAAAAAAATTAAAAAATAAAGAGAAAATTAGAATAAAGAAAATAAGTGAAAAGAAAATTTTCTGATGAAATTATTGATTGTTTTTTTGTTTTTGATGTTGTTTTTGTTGAATAAATTCCCCATATATTCTACTCTTAATGTGTACTGCAGAGTTACTGCCGATCCCAAGCCCAGGTAAAGAAGGAAGGTTGTGCATGGGGCTAGCGTCCCCAACCCGTAGGAAACTAACTTGCCGAAAAACGCTAACAATAAAAAATAACTCAAACCATTTAAACTCTACCCTGGGAGTTAGATGTAATATGAGGCTTCATGGTGAAAGCCAAGGTCCTTCGGAAGCCACGAGGCTGATGCCCCTTTTAACAACTAGACCAACAATTTTTATAGGTACATGGAATGTCCGGACAATGTGGGAGACCGGAAAGACCAGTCAAATAGCAACGGAAATGAGGAGATAAAGCTTGGCAGTACTAGGAATCAGTGAAACCCATTGAACTAAAGCTGGACAACAAAGTCTAAATACGGGAGAAATGCTGCTTTACTCCGGTCACGAAGAGGAAAATGCTCCACACACTCAGGGAGTTGCTCTAATGCTGTCTAAAGTAGCACTAAATGTACTTGTAGAATGGGAATCTCACGGATCCAGAATCATCAAAGCATCAGTCAAAACAAAGAAGGAGGGGATCACAATGAACATTATCCAATGTTATGCACCCACCAATGCTAGCAATGACGACATTGAAGATCAATTCTATGAGAGGCTGCAATCAACCATAGAGAAATGCTCAAGAAAGGACCTCAGCATTCTGATGTGCGAACTAAACGCCAAATTCGGAATAGACAACACCGGATTTGAAGACATCATGGGGCTGCATTGACTGGGAGAGAGGAACGAAAACGGGGAAAGATTTGCAAATCTGCGTGCATTCAATAAATTGGTCATAGGCGGTACAGTATTTCCACACAAACGTATACACAAAGCTACATGGATCTCACTGGACTACACCACAGAGAACCAGATAGATCATATTTGCATCAATAAAAGGTTCCGAAGAACAATGGAAGATGTGAGAACCAGTAGAGGAGCGGACTTAGCTTCAGATCACCACCTCGTTGCGGCCAATTTAAAAATGAAGCTAAAGAAGGACTGGACAACTGGACAAACAGCACCAAAATCGTTCAATACAGCCTTTCTTCGAGATACTGACAAACTCAATGAATTCAAGATAGCTCTCAACAACAGGTTC